CTCATCTGAGGCAATGCTTCACATTATGTTCATTGTTTCCAAAAGGTTACTGGATTGATAAAGAACAATTGATTGACCAATGGATTGCTCATGATATGATCAATATGCCAAGTGTTGATAACTTGGAATATGTTGGCCACAAGTTCTTTAATTCTCTTGTGCAAGTGTCTTTTCTACAAGATGTGGAAGAATTTTGTGGAAGAGTAAGGTGCCGGATGCATGATTTGGTTCATGATCTTGCGCGATCCATCTTGGGCAATGAAATTTCACTTGTTGTGCCAAAGGAGGCAACCATGCTCTCAAAGAGCTATAGATACTTTTCTTTGATTAATCAACCAAGAAATATTCGGCCTAAAAGTATTTTTGGTAAGGCGCGTGCTCTATATGTTGATGAAAGTGATATCACCATATTTGGCAAGGAATTGAAGAATGCAAAGCACTTGCGCAGTATCACGATGGAATCTGTGTCTACAAAATCAGTACCCACTGCCATACTGCACGTAAAAAATCTGAGGTATCTTAGCATATCACACGAGAATTTTGATACACTTCCTGAGGCTATTTCAGATGTTTGGAGCCTGCAAGCGCTTCATGTAACAGTCTGTCGTTACCTTATCAAGCTGCCTGAATCCATTGGTAAGCTGCAGAAGTTGAGAACACTAAATTTGTCAGGATGTGATAGCCTAATGAATTTACCAGATTCTGTTGGCGATTGCCACATGATTTCAAGTTTAGACCTTTCCTATTGCAAGAAGATTCCAGTGTTGCCGAACTCAATAAGCAGAAATAAAAAGCTAAGAGAGTTGAGACTACAATCTACAAAAATTGAGAGGCTTCCATCAAGTGTCACGACACTAGGAAATCTAGAGCTTTTGGACCTTCGGTGGTGTTGTAAGATTCTAGAGTTGCCTGAAGGCATCGGAAATTTGAAGAATCTTCAAGTATTAAAAACGAGAGGATGTGATAATTTGAGAGCTATGCCGGTAGGTATTGGACAGCTCAGTCGACTACAAAATCTAAACACATTTGTTGTGGGAAAGGGGAAAAACTCTTCAGAAATTTATGAGCTCACAAACATAGTTAGGATGAGTGAAAACCTAAATATCAGAGGTATTGCAAATGTGATGGACCCAGATGAGGCGTGCAGGACATGCTTGAAACAAAAGGCAAACTTACAGACCCTAGAGCTTGATTGGAGGACAAATGATGAGGATAAGGTGAATGCTCAAACGGAGCACGCTGTACTAAATGGTCTGGAACCACCCTCAGGTATTAGAAACCTACATATTGCTGGATATGCAGGTGGGAAATACGCACAATGGATGCTGAAGCAAGTTGGTGCGGGAGAAGGTGTGGATCAATTCCCATTTTTGACCGTGTTGAAGCTATCAGATTTCCCAAACATGAAGCATCTAGAGGGACTTGTGGAGTTGCCTTGTTTAGAACATCTTGAACTGTCACGACTGACTTCTCTTGAAAGCATAAATGGAGGTCCATTTCCTTCTCTGATGAAGTTAGTTACCGACGGACTGCCCAGATTGGAAGAAGTTTGGATGGTAACAGAGATGAACTTGGGTAATGAGAAGGGCAAAATGCAAATTGGTACTTGCCTATCAGATATACATATTATAGGATGTACTAAATTGTTGGTGAAGCCATACTTCCCATCATCACTGCAACGCCTGTTATTGGAAGGGAGTAACGAGCAACTGATGCAATCGCCAGGCCAAGGCCAAGGCCAAGGCTCCTCTTCATCCTCTAGTTTTCCATCTTCATTCAGTTTTAGCCACCTCAAGGAGCTTACACTACGGAAGATGGTGATATCATCATCAGGATCACCACCACCCCTTGGATTGCAATCTGGGTGTGGGTACTGCTGCAACAAATGACAGCACTAGAGTCTTTGGAGATTTCGAAGTGCAATGGCCTAACCGAGCTACCAGAGAGCATGCGGAGCCTCACGTCCTGCATGCTGCCTGAATGGCTTCAAGAACTCCAGTCTTCGCAGAAATTAAGCATTACCTACTGCCATAGCTTGACCAGCCTCCCACAGTCAATGGGTCAACTCCTCTCTCTGCAACAAATGATCATCGATAGCTGCGATAGTCTGAGCAGCATTCCTCAATCAGTTGATCAACTCTGTTCTCTGCAAGAGATGATCATCGAACGCTGGCCTACTGTTAACAGCCTTCCCCGATCGTTTGACCGACTTTGTTCTCTGCAAAAATTGACCATCGGTGGCTACAGAAGCATGGAAAGCCTTCCCCAGTCATTGGGCCACATCATCTCCCTCAAGAGGCTTCTAATAGGATGGTGCACTAATGTGAGACCCAGCCCATTGAGCCAGTTGGGCCGGACCGAATGCACGACACTGTAGTTTCGGGGGTACTATAGCAGTGCGGAACACTGTAGCTACTAAATTTAGCAGCTGAGGGAGGGCTGAATCAAGTTAAAAGCCTAGACCTGGGAGACTGTTAACTCCGGATTGATCATTTTGCGCGAAGCGAGGATGAAAGCGTAAGAGAATTAATTAACAGGTGTGGTTCATTTAACATGTAGAGTGGGCGGCCTTAGCCGTCTTCCCGGGTCGGGGCGTTACAACTAAACTACACCTATTGCCCGTCTTCCTGGGTCGGGGCGTTACAACTAAACTACGCCTATTGCCTGAAAGCCTGGGAGAGCTCCGGTCTCTACAAAGACTTGAGATTACTGGTTTGGACGCCCTGACTTGCCTTCCCCAATCCATACGCCGCCTCTCCTCCCTGGAAGAGCTATCCATCTCATACTGCCCGCTCCTCACATCCTTGCCAGAGCAGATACGAGGCCTCACCGCATTACAACAATTGGGCATCTATAACTGCCCTGATCTGAAGAGGCGATACGACAGAAATAAGGTCGACTGGGGCACGTCATTGCCCACATCCCTCGTGTATATATTAATGGGTATTGATGCTTCGTTGGCAAGTGAGGAGGAAGTGCTTGGCATTCACCGTGCAAAACTTTGATCAACTATGTTCATCGTTTTATAACATAATACCCATGTAGACACCATGTAATCTCTACTGAGCTATGATAAACTTTGATTAGCAGTTTTTCTATTTGCCTTTTCCAAATATATGCATAGTACTCCATTACACCACACCACCATGTATCTTTAGTACGTGTTTAGTTGAAATCTTAATTTTGGTTATTGACACTTGTTACAGCCCATGTGTTGTGAAATCTTAATTTTATCCTATTAGTTAGTGCATTTTTTTCTCAGTGTATTAAGTTGAAACTCTATTGCTTATGTACATCTTTTCTGTATTTTCATATTTTAAAATATAGATTCTAAATCCTATACTACACTCTTAATATTTATTATAACTAGTTCATCAATCCATGTTTCTGCACGGCCTAAAATCTTATGACATATATAGGTATTAGAAGTTTGTATTTAGTATCTACAACTAATTAAAATTACTTCTGCTAAAAAAACTAATTAAAATTACTAATATTTTCAGTCTCTTTTTGTTCACTTTAGAGCGCAATAAGACAATGTTGTGATGAACATATCGATCGATTTTAGCGCTGCCTCCCTGGCCATGAGCCCATGACACGGCCCAAGCGCTTGCCTGACTGCGCACCCTTGGCAACCGCGCGGCGCCGGAGGTGGCGCGCGGGTGGCGGGTAGGCCCGGGAGCGTGCAAGCAACGGCGACGACGGCTGGGCGTTGCTGGCGATCGCGGCAAACGGTGGATGGAGCAGTGCGCTCCACCCCGTTCGACGAAATGTGCCACCGTTTTGTCATCCAAAAGAGCAGCGTGTTCCTTCAGCGTCGAAGGCTTGTCAACTTGACTGTGGTAAGCTGAAGGTCAAACCACACGACACATGCCTTTGTCACTGGAGAACCTGCAGTCGTCCGAGAGCAGCGAGCAACTGCTGCAATTGCCAGGCCAATGCCTGTGGTGGGGTCCTCTTCCTTACTCCAATTTCAGTCACCTGAATGAACAAGCTTGGGCTATGGGGGATGAGATGACAGGGTTAGGATTTGGACGTGGGTGGGAGCTGCTGCAGACACGACAACACTCCGAGCCATTGGAGATGAAGTCCACCCGAGCTGCCAGAGAGCTTGCAGAGCCTCACATCACATCCCTCCGGTCTTCTGACTGCGTTCGCATGTGGAACTTCAGTCTCTTCAACAGCTGTTCACCATGTGCTTCCAGGTTCATGCGCACTTGCAGCTATGCTGCTTTTACAGTTTGCTAAGGCATGTGCATTTGAACGCAGAGTGACAACATAGTGATATGAACAGATTATGCTACAAGAGAAGAGGTCACGTTACCAGCTCAGGCTCTCAAGTCTAGATCAAAGTATATATACATACACATACTAAAGGCACATTAATTGGTCCAGAATTGTCGAACAAACACTCGTGATCTCCTTGCGAAAGAAATCACAGCGAGACGACATAAGACACCCAATCGCCCATATATAGTAGTCATAGAGATGATAACCTTGTTCCAGCCAACTTTAGCCTTACATTTTTGTGACAGTGAAAGATAGTAGATCCCTTGACAGCCCAAATTTTATAGCGCCTCAACTAAGACACCAAAACCTGTACAAAAATGAAAATCATAATAACTCCAGAGTTAACTGTTATCTCTAGGAATAGAAAAATCAGTAACTTGACAGAATCTTAAAACTGCATGAACAACTGCTGGCTAATCTGATTAACTGTCATATGTTCAATTAACCTGACAGTGAATGAAAAAAAAACTACTAACTGTTTGACATGTAGTTTACTAATTATGACACTACAACAATCTCAACTTCGAATTAGAATATAAAAGTCTACTAATTTTTTGACATGTAGTTTACTAACTGCATGTGAAAGTTCAGACTTTTGTGATTTTATCTGCCAGCTAAATGTACGTCTCACAGTGCAGGTTGTTTGTTCGTCAATAATTTTGTAGTGAACTTTCAGATAGAAGCACCAGGAAAGTTGTAAGTTAGCTTACATATGTTAATGGTAGAAAGGAACTTCAACACTTTGAGAACTCTCTCATCAACGTCTTGACACTTGACTTCAACAATGTTAAGGTGTTCTGAAATTTTAGCCGATAGCTCCATCAGATTCAAGCTTCCTTTCATTTCAATTTTATACTTAGGTCCCTGCAGTGAAATAAATCATTTTTCCCAAGACCACTCAGTGGTGTAACTATTCTCATTTGCAGAGAAGCAATTGCTCATTATTTATAAAGAACATACCTCACAAAACAGTTCAAGTGTAAGCTTGTCAAGAACCGGTGAGTGTTCAAGAATACAGACTAATGCGTTGAAGTCAGGTGTACACCAGTAGTCATTGAGAAATAAAGCCTTCAGATTGTTAAAGACAGGGCACCATCTCAAATCACTTCTGAATATAATCTGGACAAAAAGATGCAATAATGTAGCCAATGTAGCATAAATATGGGGATGGCATATAGAGTTATTAATAATGTAATGAGGCAAAGTGTAACTTTACCTGTTCTGGTTCAGAAATCAACACCAAGCTCTTAGCTTGGGATAAACCTCTTAGGAGCACAGAACTACTGCTGCCATCAGTGTTCTCAGAACTGTTGCACAATTGGCAGATACAATCCAAAATTTCTGGGTCTAACAGCTTTGCACAGACATCCGCACATTCCTCGGTTATCCGGACAAAGGCCTTCACTAATGATGGCATGCTGTCAAGTGTGGGAGTCGTCTCGCAGAGGTCATCTAGACACAGTGAAACCAGGCTTGGGGTATAAATGCAAACGCTGTTAACAGAATCAAAACCGCAATCAGTCAAGCTCAGATGCTTTAGGGACTTGGACGAGATCTTGTTGGCAGTCGAGAGACCACAGTCAACCAACTCTAGATGTTCCAAGGCCGGGCAGCTGGAGAAGTTGAGAAAACTGCTGTGGAGTTGTACACCACGGAGGTCCAGTCTTGTCAGGTGCTGAGAAACGAGAGGCAGGTCATCTAGCACAAGATAGAACATGGAAAACATATGGAGCTTGAGCGCTCGAACCCTGCACATCATGGCATGGCGGAACCAGAGATTCACCCGTGGCACATCATCATCCTGGAATCCAGTAAATCCGAATTCACATACGTCAAGAGGTGAACCTCCACGGAGGAGCAGCAGATGGTCCAAAAACTTGCGGTGCTCTTTCACCAGTGCCACTTCATCCTCATGGCGGCACCCGACACGCAGGCACGTGGTGAATCTCCAGAGCTGGCGCCAGCGTCGAGCGAGAACGCATGTCCGCACGGCCTCTGGAGCTAGCAGGAAGCTGAGGATGTGCTCGAGGACGCCGTCCGGCAGGACGTCCATCATCGGTAACTAATAAGATTCTGGGCCTGTCCAACAATAGCCAGCAACTGGAGTTAAACACAATGCAATCATCAGTAACTAATAACTATTACATACTGCACAACTATATTGAATACTGCACAATCATCAGCAACTGGAGTTAAAAACCATCATCAGTAACTAATAACTATTACATACTGCGCAATCATCAGTAACTAATAAGATATAGAAGTACCTAAGTTACAAAGCTACAGGTGCAAAAGAAATGACAAGCAGGCAACACTGACCATCTCCAGAAATTTAACATTTGAAGACATACCAAAATTTCACAATGAATCCAGGAAGGCAACCAGTAGGCACGTGATATGTATGTCAAAAATGCCATGTACTCCTACAAATAGCAATGAACTATCCAAAAAGCAATGCAAAAACCACAATTAGAACACCATTGAACCAAGCTGATAGAAAAGGCACCATTGTCATTCCAGATCCATCAGGCAGCAGTACCTTGAAAGCGCAACCTTAATTCTCAAAACGTCCCAACTGCATACTAAGCCATCCATTGAGCAGGGCCAATGATAATAATACTGCAGCCAGACAAATTAACAGAGGGAACCATGACTAGCAACAGCACCCCACTACCACCAGACACCAGTACAAATAAGAGGGGAAGCCAGTGCTTAGGAAAAGAGGCACCAGATCATCACCATCACATATCTACCTACTACTGGCTGGAAATGCCTTCTTGCAAAGGAAGACTGAGTTACGCTATGTTGAGATAGACTACTGTGCTAGCAGCGAAGGAAGATCCACATACCAGCACAGTTAATGAGGTTCATATGTCAGGTAACTGTTATTATTAGCTAGGAATAGAAATGGAACTGAAACGGTTTGGCCAGTGCTCACCAACGGATAAGGATGACCAAACATCAACACGCATGACTAAGTTCTTAATTTATGACATTATGCTACCTTAGCGCATACTATAGGGTACAACAGAATATTCATAATATAAATATGCTTATAACTATCAAGATTTATAACAATATGCTACCTCAGTGCAGACCATATGCTCAAATATGTGTACAAGTAATTAGTACATCTGTGTACAAGTAAGAGGGGGAGGTTACAGCCTGTACTGGAAAACAGGTGGCAAGTACTACACTGTCTCTGGACTATTGTAAAATGACAAACATGGACAGCAGGTAGACTCTTAGAAATCTGGAGTACCTTTTGATGGTGATCTCAAGTGATAGACCCAAAGATGCCAGTCTGTATAGAGCTTGATGAGATTTCCAGGGTCCTCCACCTGAACAAGCAGAAATTCAAACAGTCACCTCAAATAATCTTGCACTTATGAAAATTAAGTGATTAACAGGTTCAGCCTATAAAAAACATATTGATCAAATGATTGGCCTAGTATCTGAATTAGTTGTAGTAGCAAGGGACAGTGAAGTAGTGTCATCATACTGTAGCCGTGTAGCGTTAGCTAATGTTCGTTAGACTGGGGATGATTTTTTTTTTCATAATTCCATTTATTAAGCAGAAGTTTTGAATTACTCGTTACAATGCCTACTAGTGTTATGAATGAAAACAATCATGCCCATTCCAGGAAATAATAATCTTAGACTAGCATCAACATACATGGAAATCCGGAGCTACAGTGTACCTCGTGGATCTAGCAGAGGAGAGGATAGGGAAGAGTAGGGCTCGTAGCATACCTCAGCGCCGCTGCGTACTGCCGGATGGACGGGCGGCGTCCGCGGCAGCTGCAGGGATGTGGTCAGGTCTTCTTGACGGGATGGACGGCAGGGTGCTCTAGGCTGAATGAGGGAGCTCCACCGCCACGATCCACGCCTGCAGACAGATGGAGGACGGGACGACGACATTCCACTGTGGCGAGGAGAAGGGAATGCCCCTTACTCGGCCGTCGCAGCGCAGCGCCGTCCGCCGCCGCCGCCGTTAGTGATGGAGGAATTGGGGAGAAAAAAAGGTCCATATAACCCCTCACGTTTTACAGTATATCCACTTACCTACAAAATTAGCTACTCTCTAGTCTCTACCCTGTAAAACTAGATATCTAAATTTCAATCTATCAAAAACCGTTTGTGGGTGGTTTTGTCTTGCTGCCACACACGTAAGTGATCTCTTATATCAAAACAATTCATAACTTTTCATATGAAATTAAATGAAGATAAACTTTATATCAAAATTATAAAGTCCAATGTAATCTAAAATTTGTAGTTGACATCTATTTCGTTTGAGATCATTTAGATGCCTAAATATTTAATAAAATATTTCATACTTTTAATGGTCTCAAGGAAAAAATTCAACAAAATTTTTTTAGATCTCACTGAAAACTACAAATTTGGTGTAGATCATTTCTACATCTACGATCATAAAATATTAATTTCTAAATATGATAGCTTAAAATGATATTTGAGCCTCTAAACTAACTCAAATAAAAAATTTGCCATATATCTCATCAAGGGCTACAAGTTTGGTATAGGCAATGTCAAACATCCGAAGTCATTTGAAAAATTAAAATTTTGAATTTTAAAATCTGATAACTTAAAACGAATATTTAGCATCTAAACCATCTCAAATAAAAAAAAAATTCAACTATAAGTTTATAGATCACGTTTAGTACCAGAGCTTTGGTATAGACGATATCGACATTTGAGGTCATTTGAAAAAAAAAAACAAAGTCGGTTCAATTAAAATGAATGTTTAAACCTCCAAACTATCTTAAATAAAAATGTCTATATTGCCTTTATCTCTTTTTTCTTTTGTTTCTTTTTTCTTCTTCTCTGTTCTCTTCCATATGACCTTATCCGTACACCGCACGGGATGCCTCTTTGCCCCGAAGCTTCCTCCGTCGGCGCTCCGGCTTCCTCCGCCCCGGCGACCACCGCGGCCCTACGCTGCCCACGCCCCGGCGGCCGGCGTCTCCAGCGGCTCTGCGCCCAGATGCCCCAGCGGCCCTGAGATGCAGGACCGCAGGTATTCCTCATCCTTCGGCACTGGAAGCCGTGCGTACTGTGTTGGCAGAGCCTGTTTGTTTATTAGTTTCAGCCAGTCTAAATTAGCTAATAATGTTTTTCTTTCAAAAAAAACTAGCACCAGTCAATCTAAACCAGCACTGACACCCACCAGCGAACAGACCCTGTAGCCCAAAGAAGCAGGGCCTATACATAGTGACTTCAATAATTTGAGGTGACAAGACATCGTGGAGAAATTGATCAACCCAATCTGGCTTTAATAACTGAAAGCCGTACGTCATTTTGCTCCAATCCGCCCTCTGGGTGGGCTTGACTAATCAATCACTAGCGGCCACAGCCCACAGCCGATGCATCCTTTCATTTCTGGGCAAGTTGATCAACCCAGACCACACGTTGCAAAGGAGGAAAGGAGGGCTACGCCACGCTTGGAGCTCCAGGTACCTAGCTAGCAGATCCCGGATCTCCAGTATTTACTTAATTCTTGACGAATAATCTAACATCCTGTATGTTTAGTTTTGTTTCTTGCTCTGGTGTGCATATACTCTACATATGTAGCAAAGGAGAAAAGGAAGGCCTCAATTTTTAGATGGATGAGTAAAAGCAATAGATCTGAGCTCCCCGGAAAGCTCTGGTTTGCGTAAGTTGCATCATGTTTGAGCTCTGATTTTCCTTCAGTCTACTGTACCTTCCACTGATCAACTTCTTTGTTGGCGTTGGGGGAACCAAAATCGATCTGCTCTAAGCCTCTCGTTTTCAAATGCGCGCAGGCATTCATCTCTCCTTTTGTGACAAGAACTCAAGGCTCCAAATGTCTTTTCTATAAATATAGAAGCAGCAACTCAGGCTCAAGGGTTAACAGTCACTAGTTTTCTCAGGTCAGATATCCATACCTTCAAGTTCAACCACTTCCTTGGGACTTCTATCAGATCCTTGTTGACTAGCCATACTGATGGCAACAGAAATAGATAACCACACACGAAAGCAGTAATACCATATGTCCATATACATGGTCCAATTAGTTCATTAGTTGTGACCTGCGAAACCCTACTATTCTGGAATACTTCTTTTTTGCAAACTATTTTGCTTTCAGAAACACTTGATTATGTCAAAATTCAATGTACAGGGCAAACATGGTTGGCATGGAAGCCGCTGCACTGTCTGCTGCAATAACTGGAATACTGAAGGTTGTGGGAAACAAGTTAGCTCCACTGGTCATCAAAGAGTACAGCTCTATAGTGAGTGTGAAAAAGGACCTCCAGGAGCTCCAAGATCTGGTTCAGGAGATCAATTGTCGGCTGGGAACAGCAGAAGATAGAGCTACAGGGGATGTTCCATGGCTCAAAAAATTGAAACAAGTGGCTTACGATGTTGATGATGTTGTGGATGAGTTCCAGCTAAAGGCTGAGAAACATGACGCTAATGGTGGTGGTGGATTTGTGTCCAGGTACCTGCACACAAAAACTGAATCATTTATATTTCAATGCAAGGCGGCCAAAAAGATCAAGAAAATCAATAAGAGATTTGCTAAGATTGTGAAGCAAAGAACTGACTTGACTGCAATATTTGGACATGATCCTGTTAGCCATATAAACATGTCAGTTGTCAATATGCAAACATTGCCTGTCGGGGATGAGGCAACAATACTTGGAAGAGACCAAGAGATGCACCTAATAATATCTAATCTGGTAGAGACTAATGACAAACAGGAATTCAAGGTAGTTTCCATTGTTGGACTTGGTGGCTCTGGGAAAACTGCCCTGGCTAAACTGATTTTCAATGATGGTGAAACAATAGAGAAGCATTTTGAAGTAAGACTATGGGTTCATGTGTCACAAGAATTTGATTCTGAAAAGCTCATCAAGAAACTGTTTGAGGCTTTTGCTGATAAAGATACTGGACAGCCTTCTTTGCCGTATATGAGCAAAAGAATCCAAGGGGGGTTGACTCAGAAGAAGTTTCTGATTGTAATGGATGATGTTTGGACTGAGTCCCAAAATAAGTGGGGAGAAATAATGGGCTATCTGAAAACTGGCGCACCTGGAAGTGGCCTTTTACTCACTACTCGCAGTATAAAAGTTGCAGAAGCAGTGCGATCCACATACCAGTTATGTTTGCCACGCTTATCTCAGGATGATAGCTGGCATCTGTTCCAACAAAGCTTTAGGATGCCTGCGAAATTTTTGGATTCTGACTTTACATTGGTTGCAAAAGAGATTATTCAAGCATGTTGTGGGTTGCCGCTAGCAATTAAAGTTCTTGCAGGTTCTCTTGCTGACAAGGAACTAATAGGAGAGTGGCAGGCCATGAGAGACATTTTGTTAGATGTTGAGGGTGAAGCAGTATCTGCATGCTTGAATTTGAGCTATTTAAATTTGCCTTCCCATCTGAAGCAGTGTTTCACAATGTGTTCATTATTTCCTAAAGGTCATCTGATCTATAAACAACAATTGATTGACCAATGGATTGCCCATGATATGATCAGTTTGAGTCCTGGAGTTGATGATTTGGAGCATATTGGCCACATGTACTTTAATTCACTTGTACAATTGTTCTTTTTACAAGATGTGGAGGAATATGAAGGGGCGGTGAGATGCAAGATGCATGATTTGTTTCATGATCTTGCCCGGTCCATCTTGTGTGAGGAAATTTCAACTATTGTGCAAGAGGATGCAACCAGTTACACAAGAGGCTACAGATACTTTTCTTTAATTGAACAACCAAGAAAACTTTTGCCTGAAGAGGTTTTTGAAAATGCACGTGTTATATATGTTGATAAGGGAGATGGCATAAAATTTGGCAAGGCACTGAAGAACACAAAGCACTTGCGCAGTATCATTCTGAATTCTATTTCGTCAACAGCAGTGTTGACATCCATACTTCATGTAAAAAATCTGAAATATCTTGAAATATCTCAGTTGAAATGTGAGGCACTCCCTGAAGCTATTTCAGATATTTGGAGCATGCAAGCTCTTTACATAAAATCAAGCGGTCTTCTTGAGTTGCCTAAATCCATTGGGATGCTGAAAAAGTTAAGAACACTGAGCCTAACAGGGTGTTCTAGGCTGAAGACTTTACCAGATTCTATTGGTGATTGTGACATGCTTTCAACTCTGGATTTCACAGATTGCATTGCATTTAAGGAGCTGCCAAATTCTATAGGTAGGAACAAAAGACTAAGAGTGTTGAGACTAGTTTGCACCGGGATTGTTAGGCTACCATCAAGTATCACAACTCTAGAAAATCTTGAGTATTTGAAACTTGAGAGGAACATGCCAACAGAGTTCCCTGAAGGCATAGGGAACTTGACAAAGATTAAAGCATTGGAACTAGATAAATATATAGCCATACCATCTGGCATTGGGCAGCTCACTCGACTAGAAAAACTTAATTCGTTTTGTGTGGAATTCGATGTAAAATATGCACGAATCTCAGAGCTAGAAACTTTATCGAGGATAAGTGGGAAACTAGCTATCAATTTTCTTGGACGCTTGATGGATTCGTGTGATGCACGCAGGGCATGCTTGAAACAAAAGGAAAATTTACATGAGCTGGAACTTTCATGGGGGCCTCGTCATAGGAGTTTGAATGACGAACATGAGGTTGCTGTATTGGATGGTCTGGAACCTCCATTAGGGATCAAACAACTTACGATAAGAATGTATGGAGGTGGACAATTTGCATGGTGGATGCTGAAGCAAGTCGGTGGTGGAGTACAGGGGTCTCGTCAATTCCCCTTTTTGACCAAGATGATTCTGTTTGATTTCCCAAACTTGAAGCAATTGGATGGGCTTGTGCAGTTGCCTTGTTTGGAGAAGCTTCATCTGAAGGATATGCCTGCTCTTGAGAGCATAAGTGGAGGACCATTCCCTTCGCTTGTGAAGTTAAAAATGGAGGGATTGTGTAGTCTAGGAGAGGTGTGGATGGTACCAGACAGGACCTTTTTTGGCAACGAGGAGGGAGAGGGCTGCAACAACTATAATCCTCATCAATCAGGACAAGTGCAAATTGGTAGTCATCTTACAGATTTGGATATATATTGTTGTCCTAAATTGAGGGTAAAGCCATACTTCACGGATTCACTAGAGCACTTGCAGTTGGACACATGCAACATCAACATGCTGCTGTATCCATGCCAAGGCCAAGGGTCCTCTTCATCCTACTCTACTTCTCCACTATCTTATAGCCACCTGAAGGTGGTTGAACTACTGCGTATGAAATCATCGTTGCCATTATCACCTGGATTAGGATCTGCTGGATGTGGGTCGGAGATGCTCCAGCACATGTCGGCACTTGAGTCGTTGGTGATTTTCTGCTGCAATGATCTAACCGAACTGCCTGAGTGCCTAGGGGAACTCTGTTCGCTGCAAAAGATGACCATCAAGAAGTGTAATAGCTTATGCAGCCTTCCCAAGTCAATAGGTCGCCTCACCTCCCTCCAAGAGCTCGAAATACAAGAGTGTGAGGCGCTTGTCCAGTTTCCGGAAAGCTTGGGAGAGCTATGCTCTCTATATAGGCTCGAGATTGACCGTTTGCCAGTCTTGACTTGCCTTCCCAAATCCTTGTGCCACCTTAGGTCCCTCAAGGAGCTCAGCATAGGATGCTGCGATGTGCTCGGTGAACTACCCGAATGTCTGGGTGAGCTCCACCGCCTACGCAAATTCAAGATTTGGGGTTTGGATAGCCTGACCCATCTTCCCCAATCCTTGTGCTGCCTCATGTCCCTGCAAGTGCTCGAGATAGGGCTGTGCGATGCAATTGGGGAACTGCCTGAATGCCTAGGCGAGCTCCACTGCCTAGGCAAATTCAGGATTTGGGAACTGCCCAGCCTAAGTTGCCTTCCCCAATCCTTATGCCGCCTCACCTCCTCCCTTGAGAAGTTTGAGATTGTGTCTTGCCCGGGCATCAGATCCTTGCCGGAGTGGATGAAGGACCTCACCGCTCTGCAACGATTGGAGATCAGTGGCTGTCCTCATCTAGAGAGGCGCTGCGATAAAGAAATCGGGGAGGACTGGCATCTCATCTCCCACATCCCTGTTTTGAGGATTGGGTAGGTGATTGGTGAGTTTGTTGTACTATATTAGCCTCTAACCATGAGCCCGTTTTTCCTTGTGTAGATTCGATTCACCAGAAAACCTATTCCTTCTTTTCTTTTCTTCTTTTGGTGGTCATTTGTCTCTAAACCCTTTGTTTAGGTCTGCTCGTTGTGGTTGGAGTTGAGGTTTCCTGTTTTGGGAGTCATCATCGCATCTATGCCATGTTTAGCTTGTTTCATTTCAGCACCAATATGTGCTAGTACATCTAGACTTATTACCCAAGCTGCTGTATTATTAAGTTTTGTCAATTGCTAAAATATGTTCAAGGTTGATTCCTCTTTGACTTTGGCGGAATTAAATTAATGGATTGCTTCAAACATATTAAAGTATGCATGCAGTGATTTTCACCCTAAAATATAGGAATTTTCAGTTGCCCAAAAGTCCAATAACCCTAAGTTTGACAAAGTTTGTAGCGAAGAAGGATTGGTTACATTGTGTCAAATGTACTCACAAGCCTTGCTTCTCAAACAAAAATGATTCAACACTCTTGATTATTGTTTCAAATCAAAGAAAAAAATACTCACATTGGCATCGATGTGACAAATCAGAATGCTCTGGTCCTTGAACAAGTCGGCGAAGCTACCAGACCTACACTCTGACACCTTGCTGCACCTTTTGTATGCAGGCCGCTTTGGAAGCATAGGAATGAGGTGGTGTTCAACAGCTCACAACCGTCTGGCAGCTGATTTACTGCAACCTTCAGGGAAGCTGGGCATCTGTGTAAGTTTCGCTTCTCAGAAGAGGATAGATTTGCTGCCCATATTAGGTGTAATTTAGTTTATTTTATGAACTATTAAACTTACGCCAGGCGTGTACTCTACTCATTTCTGCTACCCATGGCCAGGGTACTATCCTCAAAATTTACCAAAATATGATGGCAACTCCGATATGAGATAATTTGTCATGAGTTATGAGGCAGCAGTCGCAGCAGCAGGCGGGGACAAGGCTACCCTCGCAAACTCAGGCTGCTGGGGGCTTACATTCACAGACCCTCGCTAGAGCTTGTTGAGAACAGGGTGAAAGTAGTGTAGGGTTTCTTGCCTTGTATGGGCCATCTGCTAGAGTTGTTCAGCATGCTAGCGCGTGATTAGGTGAGTTTCTTATACTAGTTTAACCTCCAGAGAGACTCTTTTTCCTCGTTTAGATTCACCGGATAACCTATTTCATGATAATTTTTTTGTTCTCAACAAATGGTTCCCAGGTCAAGTGCCGATGTGCGTTAATGTTCAGGTATCCAATTTCCAATTGGACTGATTACTGCTGAGAATTTTGAATTGAGGTGTTATACATTTGTAAGGGACATGCTAACTACATGCTGCCAAGTACCAACGCCATTGTTGTTGCTTCTTACGCCCGCATATCAACAGCTACCTTGAACTGGTTGCCAGCAAGCAAAAAAAAAATTAAGGTAATTCTCTTGCTTCTTTTTGTCAGAAACAAAATGACGCACTAACAGCGTGGCAAATGTCCAATTTGCAGCACATGCATATATCTCCCAAGGATAATTAATCCCTGATTCATTGGTTTTTCTCTGTCTATAATGATTTAAATGATATAGTACTTGTATATTATTGCAGCTGTGATGCACTTGGGGGATTGGAATTCCTTGCCCAGCCTACAGCAAAGATCAAGCGATGCCCATGAGTGAATAAGGAGATGAAGAACTTAGAGGCTCATCACTGATGTGATCAAATCTATTCTGAACTTAGAGGATCATGGATGTGCAAAGAAGATAAATGAACAAGTTGTTACGTCAAGTGAACAATCCAAAAGCCATGAGGCATCCTTGAGCTCTATTTGCCATGAAGAAATGCGTTGCTTGTACCGAAGTGAGCTGTTGGAAGGGCAAGTTAATTTCTCTTTTAGGTATTTAGGAATATCAATGCATTATCGTTAAATTTTGAATAAAGATTGGAATTTAATTGAGGAATGGTTCCGAAACAAACTCAGCATCCGGAAGGGCAAGTTGTTGTCAGTGGGTTGTAGATTGGTGTGATCTCTTCGGTTTTATTGAGCTTGCCAATAATGTTCATGGTCTCGTTTTTGAAAATTCCTAGAGCAATCCTTAAAAATCTAGATTATTATACATCTAGATTTTTTTGGGCAAAGATATGAACATAAAAAGAAATACAGAATTGCTAGATGGAACATAAAAAGGATTGGGCATTTTGAATTTAGAAATTTAGAATAAATACCTATTAAAAGTTCTTACTATATATCATCATTTGCTAGAAAAAGTAGGGGCTCTTGCATATATACCCTTGTTTTATGTCGAAATTATGGTTTTGCCTCTATTTTTTAAAATTTTGTGAATTTACTCCTGGATTTTCAAAATGAAGCACCACTTTTAACTCTGCCCGCTGCACTGATTGCAGCTGCTACAGCCATAGGCATTTTGCATAGTGATTTCACTGTAGATAATGCCTACAGCTGCAGCCAGTTCAACCGAGCACTCGTCTCTATTATGTCATCCTCCCCTAGCGGTGTTAATTTTTAAACAAAAAGACAAATATGTCTATATGATTTTGCCCCTAGTTTTTATGGTTGTTTGTGATTTTACCTATGATTTGGAATAAGACATTTATATTGTATTTTAACAAAAATGGTTAGATTTTATCAAATATATTTGTTATCATTTGCAATTATTTCAAATTACTTCATCCTCAAATAAACTGAACCATGATGTCTACATCAGGAGCCAATGGGGGTGTCGATGCCTCGGATGCTCCACCGATGCAGCCGTTGCCCGCGAGAAAGCCCACGTGTGCGTTTTCCTTCTGGTCGGACGAGGGATAGGTTGATAAGGGGCAGTTTTGTCTTTTTCCTTTTGTGTTTACAGATTTTGTATTTTTTTAATTCATTTGTTTCGTCCTCATGTAACAGACATCCAAAGTAGGGCCAAACGAAAATAGCGAGGGCAAAATCACAAAGTTAAAAAAGGGTAAAATCATAATTGGACTGCTAGACAAGGGCAAGAACATAAATTTTCCAAAAATATAATCTCAGATGCACTTTAAATACAAATCCATTATAATCTCGAGGCACTTTAAATAAATACAAATCCATTGATACAAGTTTGATCTAATCTTGCATATAATTTGAAGAGCAAAATTCACCGTCGGTCCCTGAACTTGGCTGGCGGTGTTATCCAGGTCTCTGAACTTTTAAAGTGATATCTGTGGATCCCTAAATTTGACAGACGGTGTCATCCATGTCCCTGAACTTTTAATGTGATCACCGCATGTCCCTAAACTTGGCTGGTGGTGTCATCTTGGTCCTTAAACTTTCAAGGTTATTACCGCAGGTCTCTAAACTTGGCAAGCGATGTCATCCCTGTCCAAATGTGGTATAACCTACTCTATAAGCTAGCGTGGCACGTTGACTGGACGTTAGATGTGCATCCAACATGTGTCAATAAATCAATCATTAATTATATAATATTTATCATGAAAATATAAATTATATAAAATAATTTACAACAACAGATATATTAGGTTTAAACTAAAATAGAAAAATAATAAAATTAATTTAATATTTATATATCATTAAAAGTATTAAAATAATATTAAAATTCCTATAGTATTACAATTTTTCTCTATTAAAAGTTACTTCTAATTTTAGTATTATTTTAAAAGTTTTAATAGTAGTATTATAGAAGTAACTTTTCTCTATTATTAAAACTATAATGCTATAATACTATACTACTTTTAATAGCAGTTTTATAATATTAGAACTTTTAATAATAGTACTATAATATTAAAAGATTTAATAATAGTGTTGTAGTATCGTAGTATTAATAACAGAGAAAAGTTATTTTATAATACTACTATTAAAACTTTTAAAATAATACTAAAATTAGAAGTAACTTTTAATAGAGAAAACTTTTAATACTATAGGTAACTTTTAATATTATTACATTTGAATAGGGGTGACACCGCTTGCCAAGTTTAGGGACCTGCGGTGATTATCTTGAAAGTTCAGAGACCCAGGTGGTACTGTCTGTCAAGTTCAGGGATCTACATATACCACTTTAGAAGTTAAGGAACCTGGATGACACAGCGGACCAACTTTAGGGACCGGCGATGAATTTTTCTCTAATTTGAATAATAGTTGGTCAAAGTTTGTGTATGTTGGCTTTTTTCCGTTTGCCTTATCATTCTGATACGGAGGAAGTATTTTGCATCGTTGTTAGTGGAAAGTCATTGTTTTCCAATGGTAAAAATTTATTATACTGCACGGTACATTTGATTGTTAAAAATGCATTGTTGATTGTTCTATGGTATATTTTGGACAAGTTCAGCGATAAAAATAATTGTCCTCTTTCATATTTTGGCTTGTTCTAGAAAGCGAGAAGTTGCTCTCTAATAAGTATATTTTGACTTTTTTTCTATTAGTATAAATCATCTTCCATTGCGATTGCCCCAATGTCGAAATTTGTGGTTCCACGTTATATTTTGTTGTTCCTTGACTAGTATATATACAGTATGTTTCTCTCTGTTGTACTAGCAACAATTTTTTTTTGGAAACCCTTAGACGCGGGTGTCCGTCCCATTCGGATGTGGCTTACCACTCCGCCTCGCGCCGTCGCGGCTTCACTGCACCGTGTTGTCGTCCACCCGCCCTACTCCACCCAGCGCCGGTCCTGAGTTTTTCGAGGCCATGGTCGAGAACTAATATGGAGGCCCAAAGTCTACTTTCAAAAAATTATTTATATAGATTTTTTATAGATATATATAGTCTCACAAATACACATCAATTTAGATAATATTCAAAGCACCAAAAAAGCTTATATATAATCTCTCAAAGTTAATAAAATGGACATATGTAATAATATATTACTTACTTGGCACTTGACACTATCTAAAACAATTTCTTCTTACATTTCGAGATGCAAAATCATTGATTATACTATTGATATCGATCTCATCCAACAACTTCTTCTCGATGCATAAAGTCGC